GAATAAGTGCCTTATTTGTCAGAAGGTAAAAATTGAGCATCAGAAGCCTTCTGGTTTGCTACAACCATTAGATATTCCGGAGTGGAAGTGGATGAGTATATCCATGGACTTTGTTGTTGGATTACCAAGAAGCCAGGCTGGATTTGATTCCATATGGGTTGTGGTTGATAGGTTGACTAAATCCGCCCATTTCATTCCAGTCAAGACGACCTTCTCCACAGAGCAGCTAGCCAAACTATATGTTAGAGAGATTGTGAAGCTTCATGGCATTCCCGAAAGCATAGTTAGCGATCGGGATCCGAAGTTTACTTCACGCTTTTGGGAAGCGTTACATGAGGCCTTTGGTACTCAATTGAGATTGAGTACTGCTTATCACCCGCAGACAGATGGTCAGACAGAGAGGACCATTCAGACACTGGAGGACATGCTGAGAGCGTGTGTGCTTGAGCAGGGTAATACTTGGGACAAGTACCTGCCACTGGTTGAGTTCTCCTACAACAACAGTTATCATGCCAGTCTGGGCATGGCTCCTTATGAGGCCTTGTATGGCCGTAGGTGTAGAGCACCTACTTGTTGGACGGAGATCGGAGAAAGACAGTTATTGGGGCCAGACTTGGTCCAAGAGACTACGAAGCAGATTGAGATGATCAGAGATAGGCTGAAGAAAGCCCAGAGCCATCAGAAGAGTTACTATGATGCCAAGCACAGACCCCTTGAGTTTCCTGAAGGGGATCATGTATTCATCCGGCTATCACCTACTACAGGTGTTAGGCGTGCCTTGGGAGTGAGGAAGTTGAGTCCACGGTTCATTGGGCCCTACCAGATAATAAAGAGGGTCGGACCGGTGGCGTATCAACTTGCTCTACCTCCCAACTTGGCGAATTTACATGACGTTTTCCATGTGAGTCAACTCCGCAGATATATATCTGATGATTCACACATTGTACAGTATGATGACATATAGGTTAAGAAGGACCTGAAGTTCGTTGTTGGACCTTCTAAGGTTCTTGCTCGAGATGAGAAACAGCTTCGAAATAGAGTTATTCCCATGATCAAGATCCAATGGGAAGGATTGACACAAGAGGATGCCACATGGGAGCGGGAGGATGATATTCTCCGGCAATATCCCGATTTTGATATCAGGTATGATCTGATTTTGAGGACAAAATCTTTTAAAAGGTGTGGTGAATATAATAACCCTAATTTAAATTAGAGGGTTATAATGAGGACCTTATAGTCATAAATGGAATGAGCATAAAATTATAAGAATTTTGATACCCATATTGAGGTATTATGCACAGATGAATTTTTATCTGTTAAATTTGACTGCTGACGTAATAACAGTTAGTAGAATAGCTCCAAGTTAGCAAATTATAGTTAGAGAGCTAATCTAATGATATAAACATCATGAATGAGGTTAGGATACAATTTGGTGAAGATTATACCCATATTGGGGTATTTTTGAAAAGTCACTTCTGCCGGGTATTTTGTACTGCTGTAGCAGCATCCGGTAGAATCCCGGAACAGGAAAAAGATAAGAAAATAGAAATAAAGACCAATATATGCCTAACAAGTCATAATTAGACCAAAAGTGTTAAAGTTAAGAAGATTATGAAATCCGGGTACAGTTAAGAACACCGGTAAAGACTACAGTGCAATTAAACAACTGTTAGTGGATCTGTGATCTACTAATCAAATTTTTAAGTTATGAACATGATAATTAGACAAAATTAATGTTAAGTACTTAAAGTTAGAGTCTTGAGAGTTTTCGAGTAAAAATTTGACGACGGATCAGTTAAAAAATTACACCGGGTCTCACTAAAGGACGAATATCACTTAAGTGACATGGCACCCCTCATTAGGGCACCTTCCTCTCCTTCCCTTCCATTTCTGATCAGCAGCCCTTCACCTCCTTCTCTCTCTAAGTTTCAAATTTTGAAAACTGTCTCACTTCTCTCCAAGATTTCTTCACCTAAATCTCTCTAAACCACCAAACTTCCTTCACAAAGATTGTTCCCCTCACTCTCCTCTTCACAACCATACCATTTTCATGGTGTGAATCAAAAATTCCGTGTCCCTTATCATCCCAAACAGCCATGGTTTTGTGGAGAGCAAAGGCTATGGAGTTGTGTTCTTGAGCTCTCTTGAAGAATCACACTTGCTTGCTTGTTTCCTTTGATTTTTGGGTAAGTGTTCTTAAATTTTTTTCATGAAAAATATCATCTTTTCTTCTTATGTTCTTGAGCCTAACTCGTGAGCATGTTCATGAAGGTGTGTGCTTGCCTAAAGGTGTGTTCTTGGTGGAAAAAGGTGGAGACTTGAGCTAAAGGAGAAACCTTGAAGATGTAAGCTCCCACTTGGGAAATATGAACCAAAAAGCCTCCCTTTTTCTTGTTGAGTGCCTTGGTTTTGATATGTTCATGAGGAGAATGTTGTTTAAAATTTCGTAATGTCATGGTTTGATGATGATTCTTAAGTGTGTGTGTGTTTGGAACCATGGAATGATGGATTTGATGACTAAAGGTGCCACCTTTGGACCTTTGAGTGATGTTCATGTAAAAAGATGACTGACACGAGCTGTCGAACTCGTGCAAATTAAAAATTATTTTTTAATCAGGGTTCAGAAAATTTGCAGTAAAGTGGAAACCCTGAGTCGTCTCTCAAGGAAATTGTTTTGGTTAAAATCGCTTATGAGAACAGAAAATTAAAAGAGGGATTTTGGATTTTGATTCAATAATTAAAAAGGCAGAATATAAATTTGGAATCAAAATTCGTAATTAAAAATAACCAACCTAAGGTTTGGGTTCCATGGACGTCTTTCCTCGGATAAGAAGATATCAGAATCGTGATTGATTTGTCAATCGGATCAGAATCCTTATTTCCAATTGACAACCCTCTCTAAGCGATCGCTTAGCATTTGATCAAAGACGATGTTTCTACTCATACAATCGCAGAGTATCAGCTCGCTTGATTTAAGGTCATAGGGTCAATCAACCTAATCTTCAAATCTGATGATTAATCCCTTTCCATAATCGCAATCGCGAACCTCAGATTGAATATCCACGATCGCACGATATCAATCTGAGTTGGGAAGGGAAACAAAACTGATTTGAAATAAACGCAGATCCTCAAGACTAATCCATGGAATCCATTACCCTTAGGTTGATTAAAAGGTTCTTAGCCTCGCATGGCTAAGGTAAACATGATTGAAATAAAAAGAAGAAGAAGAAGAAAAAGATGAAGAACGCTTCAGAGAAAATACTTTGATCCTCAATTTTGAAAATAACAGAATGACTACAATGTTTCCTACTCTACCGTCATATACCCCTACCCAAAGCGGGTTAGGGTTCAGTTCTGACCGGCCCATATGTCTAAAATACGAAATAAAATACATAAAAATAAAATAAAACTTCAGCAAAACGTGTCCGACTTGGCGCACGAAATCGACTATCTTCCAATCCGAATTGGGCTTCGAGCTATTCATAAGAATTGTAGCCCTTTGTGTTATCTGAAAAACCCAACAAGAACGGAGTCAATCTGACAACTGTGGACCAAGATATGACCAAAATACAGAAGTAACGTAAAGCTGAAAAATTCTGACGAAAATAAATTAAACCCAATCAAAAACTAAAAATGTAAAATAACTCAAAACATCATTATTTTATTCAAATAAATCCTAAAAATACTAATCAAGAGTAACAAATAAGTGTAATAAAATATGAGTTATCAAATTCTCCCACACTTATCTTTTTGCACTCCTGGGCAAAAACTAGAATAGAAAAAGAAAGCAAAGAAATAAGAAAAGTGTGAAGATCAACCTATCCTTCCTAATAATTAGCAAGTATACAAAAGATAACAAAAATCACAAGTCTTGAACAGATAAAACAATCAGGACAAAAATTCCTTAATCTCAAATCACAAGACTTGCCAATTCCAACTGCAACTGCTAATTACACAAAAATGGTTCCTCACAGGATGCCCTCAATTTTCTCTCAAGTGTATCAATTAATTTAGTATATCACTCAAATCAACTCCAGAAAATCATCCTACCATAGGCTTGCTCAAATTCTACTTCTCCACTGCTAATAACACATGCATGCACAAATCAAGAGGGCTTTATGCAGGGTTGTAATGGGGCTGGGGTAAAGGTATGGATGAATATGGAAGAGAAAGCTAAACACCCCAGAATTTTACAAAGAGCGAAAGTTAAGAACTAAACTAAGAACATAAAACAAAGATACTGAAAAGATAAACACTTTTTTTTTTTTTTTTTTTTTTTTTTTTTGTTTTTTTTTTTTTTTTTTTTTTTTTGTTTTTGTTTTGAAGAAGTAAAACCACATAGCAGAAATGAATCAGATGGTCACCCCCCACACTTAAACTTTTGTCCGTCTCGGGCAAACCCCCACACTTAAACACAACATCACAATGAAACCAATGCTCAGTAAAACTCCAAGGTATGGAATTAATTGGTTTTTCACTTAGGCTGGTAATGCGGCTTAAGAAATAACGGATATAAAGGCTCAAAAGGGCTCACCAAGGGATAATAATATAAGGGATGGCTATCTGGCTAAAGTGGGTAAAGAAAGAAAGAATGCCTCAATCATATTCATGCATGCAAGTGAAAAATGCAGTTTCAAAAAGAATCAGAGCAAGTTCTAGAGGACAACAATCAAGAGCAGAATCACACAAGAAAGAAAAACTGGCCTACAGATTAAGACCATGTCTACAGGCTCAAAAACCTCACAAGGGTATACCAAATCATGCAATCAGCAGCACAGTATCAAGCAGCAAGTAATGCAATCCAAGAATCAAGAACTAAGCCTAAGCAGAAATTTCTATCAAACCCTGTGATTTAAGTCTACTCCATGTAACACTCAATAATAACCAGAAAGAAAAGGAAAATCTACCTATGAAAATCAAAGACTGAAATAAAGAAAGGAAAAGAAAAATGCAAATAACAGAAAGAAAAGAAAAAGAGGGAAGAAGACTCCCTGAACTCCCTAAGGAGGATAAGTAGCATCAATGAGCAGAGCCTCTGTCTCCACAGGTTGCTTCTGGGGTCCTTCATTAACAACTTTGAGGTGATGGCAAATCATTGTGCAAGTCTTCCCCATCTGCTTATCACGCAACTTTGGGGGCTTTCTTTTCTGTGTGTATTTCTTCTTCTCTTGATCCTTTCTTCCAACCTTACGCAAACTTTTCTGCATACTAAAAATAGAGGAAGAACTTTTTGGTACCCATTTCATCTTGGGTCCATGAGAGTTAGGATCAAAATCATTACCAGAATGGGGAGTCTTGCATAACTTCACATTTAGTACACATTCAGAATTAACATTAATAGGCAAGTCATAATCCACAGGTAATGCACAATCACTAATCAATTCAAAATCAACCTTATCAGCCACATCATGAATCACTTTTATGCATGAAACTGAATGATCAACCTGAACCTTAGAATGCTTCATGGAATCAAATATACTAAAATGTAAAATGCTATCACCAAATTCCATGGATAGAGTACCAGAATGAACATCTATCTTTGTCCTAGCTGTTCTCATGAAAGGCCTACCAAGTATAATTGGTGATCTATTAGTAGCAGTCTCACTCTCCATTTCTAAAATGTAGAAGTCAGCAGGAAAAATCAGATTATTAACTCTGACCAATACATCCTCAATCAAACCAGATGGGTGAATACTACTCCTGTTAGCTAATGTAACCACAATACTAGTAGCACACAAAGGACCAAGTCCAAGAGACTTATATACAGATTCAGGCATGACATTAATGGAAGCCCCTAAGTCTAGCATGCAATCATGAAAAACAGAATTGCCAATTACACAAGGAATAGTAAATGTCCCTGGATCTTGACATTTTTTAGGCATAGGCTGGATGAGTGCTGATACATTCTGACTCAGGTTAACTTGCTCATCTCCTTTCAGTCTTCTCTTGTTGGTGCACAGCTCCTTTAGAAACTTGGCATATCTCGGAATCTGCTGTATTGCATCCAGAAGAGGGATGTTCACCTCAACTTTTCGGAAGGTGTCAAGTATCTCTTTATCTCGAGCCTTTGCTGATTGCTTCTTGGACTGAGTGGCTCTCTGAGGGAAAGGCAGAGGGATATGGACATCAGATGTATCAGTGCTCTGCTTCTTGGAGCTAGTGTCACCTCCTCATTGATGTCGCCAATTGCCCGATCTGTGTCTGCAAATTCTGGATTGTGGATTCTGTCCTCTGTTGAAACTCCAGATTGTTGGTGGCCATCTGTTTCATTAAGTCCTCCAAAAAAGGACCACTGACACTGTTTTGCTGCTGCACTGGTGGTTGTTGTTGTAACTGTTGAGGAGCAGGTTGCTGGAAGTTTTGTTCTCTGCTGTGGAATGAACTGCTGCTTCTGTTGGTATGGAAAATTTTGTTGACTCTGCTGATATGGAACATTTTGCTGATTCTGGTTCCATTTGAGGTTTGGATGATTCTTCCAGCCAGGATTGTAAGTGTTGGAGAATGGATTACTCTGCTGCTGCTGGAACTGTGGTTTCCCAGGAAGACTGCAGCTACTGACTGGTCTGCAGGAATCGGAGCCCTCTTGTAAGAGAAGGGAAGCATCAGTGGAGTGAAAATGGTCACTGCATATGCCACATGGATTGCCGACTGTGGAACAGAAGTCTGGACTGTCTGGGTAACTGCCAACTGTCTCACCATGGTTGCCAATTCATCAAGT